CGCAGTAAGTCTAGATGGCTGAAATCACGAAAATAACTTCACCAGTTCAGCCATACTTTTTATAATGATCACTATTAATCAGGTGGATTATGATCCATTGAACTGACTGGACAATCAACTATTCCCTAATATGGTTTAACACATGCAGTACTGTGGAAACCAGAAAGGGCCTTGCTCAGGATTTCTGACTAATACGCCGTAAAAATCAACAGTCTGTACTTTAAATCAGGAAATGGGAAAACTTTTCTGTCTGGAAAAATGTGTGATCTTTAGTCACCGCAGTATAAACCTCATCTTTGTTTTCTGAACACTTGTGTTGGAGAGGAATGCCACCATACCAGTTTAGCCTTGGAGAGCAAGGCGGCAGTACGCCCTGCTCACCTCTCTGTAAGTGGAGCTCCATCTGCCCAGGCCTCATGCATTCCTCCGCCACTACAGGACGGGAAGGAGGTACTCAGAGGAATTCCTTATTTTCAGTGATTTTCAGAGGGTTGCAGAGGAGTTCAAGTGTTTTTTAGTCATGCAAGAAAACTTGAGTCTCGCTGGCTCTAGTCTTGTTATGTGACTTGACTCTTTACACATTTAAATAAAGCTGAAATTTAAAGACAGTTTCTTGATAAAACAGCATCAAGATCTTTACATTTCAGAGAGGCACAATAATAACACAAATATAAATTGACTTTATTTGTAGGGCAGATAAAAGGTCAAAAAAAGCAAGAGATTAAAGTAAAACTTTCAAGTTTTAGAGCAGTTGGAGGACATACTGTTGCAGTAAGCAGATTTGACAGAAATGTAGAAAAATCACGTAAAAACTGAAGTAGTCTCGGCTTCTCTGGCAGTTTTTTGTACAGCATCCTTGTTGCTATACAATGGAACCAACAGGAAATTACTTTGATTATGGGAGAGAGGCGTGCTTGGAAAAGGAAAAGGGCTCAGGAGAGAAACTAAAGAGAACAGTAGATATGATCAGCGGGGGTGGGGGTCAGTGAGGACTCGGCTATGTGAGGGACTACTTTAAGAGTTTTTAGAGCTGACAGAAGATGGAGGATTTCTGGTCACTTCTCCAGTGGCAAGGGGGCAGAAAAGTTGAGACCTGCTCTTTGATCTGAGTAGCGGAACAGGGAGCAGTGAGGTGATTGATTCAGAGTTAAGGGGGTGCAGATTCCTTTGTTGGTTTAAGAAGCAGAAGGCTGCAGCAAGTAGGATATGTTTACACGGCTGGGAGGAGGTGTATGGGAGGCTGATGAAGATTGGGTTCCTCTTAAGACCCTGTTAATGACTCTTTGCTCTTTCCCCTCTGCAGTCTCACGTTTCTCTGACTGACCACCTCAGGTCAATCACAGAAAAATGTCTGGAAAGATAACAAAAGAGGAGATGGAGGAGATGAGAGAAATCTTTGGGAAAATTGGTGAGTAAAAGCAATCTTATCATAGCGTTATGAGACAGTATTTTTTTATGTTTGATATCACTGTAAATTTAAATAAATGAGGGATTTTAATTTCTGTAGATCAAAAGATGAACTGTTACAGTCGTTGTAATTGTACAGTTTATCCTGGAGTCTGATGGTTCTTTTTGTGTTTCTGTAGATCTGGACAACGATGGACATATCTGTGATTATGAACTCCATGAGCTCCTTAAAGATGCCGGCCATGCCCTACCTGGATACATGGTTCGAGAGATCATCCAGAAGCTCGATCGCAACAAGGATAATAAGATCAGCTTTGAAGAGTTTCTGTCGGTAAGTTCAGCGGCCCTCAGGACAGCTTCTACTGTCAAACCTTGACACGTTTGCAACTTCTGTTCAGAGCTTTTCTTACGGTGAATTAGTCTTTGTTTTCTTTTCTGACTAAAAGCACCTCGCCCTCCTAGATGGGGCCGCTATGCAAAGCAACTTTTAGCAGCTACAAATGCACGACAGGGTTGAAAAGCCTCCACAAACCACACATGCATACATCCTCACGGAATGTGGAAGTGAGGTCAGCAAAGTGGTGTGAGTTCCAGTATTTAGTTTCAGCGGTGATGAAGGAGAGCAGTCATTCACAGGGGCTGCTTCTGGCAGAGGTCGAGCAAAACCTCCTGTAGCTGCGTTTAGTCTCTTCTGTGATCGTAAATGTCCTGTTTTAGGGGACGTGGCTGTTCACTTGGTCACTTCTAAATTTAACCCAGACTATGATAACGACAGAGAGGAACACATTCAATTGGATGATCCTAAAACTGTGTTGTCTGAATATCTGTGAGTCCAGTTATACTCTAATGGGTTATAATCTCACAGTTTAAGGTACTCTTTATGGTTGTTATTGTTATAATAATAATAATAAACATAAAAACTGTATTTATGCAAAACCTTTGAAACAAAGTCCTTTACATAGGAAATCACTTAGCTGCTAAACAGCATTGTTGAGTTGTGTTATAAAGGTGTGTGCTCCCACTAAGCCTTGATAAAACACCCCTTGACAAAATATGTCCCTATGGATGATAACAGCCCAGATTAAATCTATCTGAATATCCTGCCCATAGATGTGAAGCTAAAAAAAGAAAACAGTTTTTTGCTAACCGTGCAATGTCATAATTCTCTTGTTGTGGTTACCTCTTTTACCTACAGCACCCAGTGTCTGTGCGTGTTTGAGGTAAATTGTGCTGTGTATCACAGTGGCAGGATGAATGGCTCATTGTGGTCACACCAGCGCCTGTGGGGCTGAGGTCACTGATGAAGCAGTGATAACTTCAGGTTCAGGAAATATCACGCATATCACCACAGAATGCGTATTGTCAAAGCAGCTCGTATGAAGCCGCTCGCACATTACTGATAAGCTACATACAGTATGAACTCACACCTAGAGCTCTCTGAGGTCCCATTGGTTGTTGCTGAGGCTGATTTAATGTTTAGAGGTAATTATTTAATGTTGGTATGTGGGGACGAGCCTGAGGGTGGTGTTGGTGTGGAGGATGATAACAGCTGTAGCCCTGGCGGTTTACTGTAACTATTAAGCACCCTAATGGCACTCACATACTCAACTGTAATACTTAGATTATATTTGTAGTTAATGTACAGTCTCACTTTAAATCACTCCGCTGTACTTAAATCAACAGAACAACATCAGTTGCTTTTATGAACCCAGCAACCTGACCTCTTCCCGGACCTTTCCTTTTAACAAACGCTGTTTTTCCTCTTGTCACAAGCACTAGATGTTCACTGTATCTTCCCAGCCCTTTAGCTGGCCGGTTGGCTTTTTGTTTTCATACCACTGAGGAGTGCTGCTGGGTGCTGAGTGACCTTGGCTGTCACGGTGGCTAACAGGAGCTCGACAAGACAAGAAGCGATTCAAACAACATTAGAAGGAGAGAAGATGATTGAGGCTTTTGCGCAGAAGTATGACTGTAACCAAAGAGCTTTTCCACCATTGATTAATCCATCGTTTATTCTGTGATTGAGTTGAAATTAAAAAACTGAATGACAAACAATCATCATGAGTGATAGCAAAAATTATCTGACAGGTGTGTTACAGTACAAATGGATTTACCAGAATCACGGTGTAATAACAGAATGTGGTTTCTTTATAGATTTTTAGATTTTTAGATATACATACTCAGTGGGTGCTTTATTAGATACACATTGTGTATAGTCTAATGCAATCCAACACAACTGTTCTGCCATAAAGTGTATTTTATAATGTCTACATTGTTCATTGATTTTTTTTTTGACAGTCTGCCAATATTATCGGCTGATATTGGCCTATAACAAATATATTGTATTAGCGTATATGTCATCCAATATGTGCCCATATGAATACATAATGCAAAGGGCTTGTAGTTTTTACAGTACTGATGCTAAGCTTAGCTGTTTTATTTTTATTTATACTCAAAGTATCTCAAAGTCACTTTCAAAAATTTGCCTGGCCGCAAAAAAACAATATCGGTTGGGTTCTAGTAGAATTGATAGCTGATCTGGTGCATTGAATTGCATTAGATTGTACAGGTGTACCTAATAAAGTGGCCACTGAGTGTATATGATACTTTCCCTATTAATACTAATGTGATGCCGATGCTACAGACATGCTATAATTGACACAAAAATCATTATTTTGGCACAAGTAATTGCAATTTCGATTTAAGAAAGCAAATATTTTGTTTCTAGGAGTTTAAATGAGTTGTCAAAAGCAATGAATGTGATTGCTTACTCACAAATCAAAATGAACATAAATATGTCTTAAAAATTCCATAAATTTCAGCCTAAAACAAGAATGCAGGATTTTCAAGGCACAGCGGTGATTTGTTACTGAGCATTCTTTGGTCTTGCTTTAGATTGTCCAGGAGCTGAAGGGCAGTGAGATAGCAAAAACCTTCCGCAAGGTCATCAACAGAAAAGAAGGCATCCTGGCTATTGGAGGGACGTCTGAGCTGTCAAGCGAAGGCACACAACACTCGTTCTCCGGTAAGACACACACACATCGTCTCCTTCCCCTCTCCAGTCACTGCTAATCTTTGTCATAATCTGCTGACTTTGTACCCTCTGCACTTCAGCTGCAGATGCTCCATTTACCACTGAAGAAGCCCATAATGAACAAAGGGACCCTCTGAGCGATTATATTGTTGGTGTTTTGTGTTTAAGTGACGCCTGTATATGTTCTTCGTTACAGAGGAGGAGCGATATGCCTTTGTGAACTGGATCAACACTGCTCTGGAAAAAGACCCTGACTGCCAACATGTCCTGCCCATGGATCCCAACACAGACTCTCTCTTCACGTCAGTCGGAGACGGTATAGTCCTCTGGTGAGAGTTCCTGTTAACACTTCAAGCCAGCAGCATAACTCCCCCCTCCCTCACCTTGCTCTCACCTAGCTACACCTCTGAAATGAATGTCATATACCTGCATCTTCCTGCAGCTAATGTTGTGATCACAGTCTGCCTGAGAAAAGATAAATATGAGCCGGTATTGGAGAATCAGTTAACCATAACAACATTCAGCCTCACCATAGAGGAGATATTGGTAATAATACAATACTCATTGAATTATATATCTAGAAATGATCACACATTGTTCATTATGTATTTGTTAAATCACCAGTTCATGGTTCACCAATGTACAGTTGAAACAGAAAATGTAACATAAAAAAAATGTTGCAAACACTGCTGTAATATATATATATTAGGCTGAATGTCATTTTACAGATAAAGAAGCTTACAAGTCTTACAAGTAATCAGCAACATATCATATTATGTTTTTAGATGAAACTGCAAACTGCAGAGCCACAAACACAGCAGATCGTCTGAGCATATTCCAGACAGACAAACTGCATGACAAAGAGAAACGCTGTTCACATGCTGAAACTAAATTAAGTGCAGGTCAACACTAGTTAGGGAGCAACCTCATATGATACATGTTTGCTACATTATTTCCATTTGTCTAATTGTCAAACATACATCCACCACAATTAGAGGCAACATTTGGAAAATGTACATTCTTTCTTTTTTATTTATTGTAGGCATAGTTGCCTTTATTAGATAGTATTCAGTTTGATGATGTGCAACAAAAAGTCCCAAGCTTAAGATTGTGTTGCTATCTTATCTTATTTTACAACGTTGATACTGCATCAGATGTGTGATAAAATGTTGTTATTTCTTTATGTTTGCACAGCAAAATGATCAACCTGTCAGTGCCAGACACTATTGATGAGAGGACCATAAATAAGAAGAAGCTAACACCGTTTACGATACAGGTCAGTTTAATTTGCCGTATGTCAGTGCTGCCCTTTGTCTTCCTTTTTATGTGAATTTTCTAACAGCTGGTGCTTTGTATCTTACAGGAGAATCTGAACCTGGCCCTGAACTCAGCATCTGCTATTGGCTGCCATGTGGTGAACATTGGTGCCTTAGACCTGAAAGAGGGGAAACCTCATCTGGTGCTGGGCCTGCTGTGGCAGATCATCAAGATCGGTCTATTTGCTGACATCGAGCTCAGCAGAAATGAAGGTATAGAGCATAATTGATAAGTCCATTGCATAACATGTATTTTAGCTTGTGTTCCTAGGGTCACTAGGGTTTCCTGGTCTGTTGTTAAGTAGCTTAACTGATCATTAACACCCTCGACAGCGCTGGCAGCATTGCTGAGAGACGGGGAAACCCTGGAGGACCTGATGAAGCTGTCTCCAGAAGAACTGCTGTTGCGCTGGGCAAACTTTCACCTGGAAAATGCTGGCTGGCAGAAGATCAACAACTTCAGCTCTGACATCAAGGTGGGCCTCATCACTGATGCTGAATGTCGCTGATGCATTTAAACACTAGATGAATTTATTTAAAGAGATTATATTTACAGGATAAAAGGTTTGGGTTTTAAGTTTCTTTGGTAGAGTTTGTTTTGTTTTTTTGTTAGCTCATTTTTGCTTGTTTATTTCCATTGGCCAACATCTATCAGCACACGGGGCCAGGCAGTGCATGTTTGTGTTTGCACAAACTCACTCAATGTCCGCCTCCACGGCTCCCAAAATGGCATTGAATGGGTAGTGTCTCTTTCAGACCAACATGAGCAAACTGTTAAATGTGTGCTTTACGTAAGCATTGAAGATATTGTGTGCACATTTTGTGGTTAAAAAGGTACATAAGTACTTTAGTTTTATTTATTAAAGAAGTTCAGATAAATAACAATTACTATGTCAGATGTACCGTATTTGTTGGGTTGAAAATGTCACTACGCTGTCAGGCCATGGCAGGTATACAAGCTTCTGCACCTGTCTGGGTTTCTCTCATGCTATCTCTTGCTGGATATTCTGATCATAGAAATGATTCAGAGATACTTTAATTCTCTAAAATGTAATTTTAAAATTCAATATTTATTAATTTAATATAATTCATAGCTTATACTTACTATATGACTAATACAGTGTTTATAAAGGAAATCTAATGTTCTACTTATTTTGAGAAACCCAGAACATCTACTGTAAATACTTGATTTAAATACAAAACCTAGTGTGCACAGTGAAAGTTGCTCACAAGCAGTTTATCTTCACTTAGAGTACAGCTATCTTAATGAAACAAAACATACAATTATGTTACACAGTGGGTTTTCCTGTTCATTCATCAGTAGAAATCTAATTGCTGTTGTTTGTTTGTTTTTATTTCCAGGACTCGAGGGCCTACTTCCACCTCCTGAATCAAATCTCTCCAAAGGGCACAGAGGAAGATCAGCCACGCATAGACATCAACATGGCAGGCTTCAGTGTAAGCGTTTTGACAGTCTGCACCCACAGTTGAGTATCTCCACGACAACGTGGTCACACAGCCAAAACAATATTTCAAGAAAAAAGAAGCGAATATGGATGATGGTGTTCAGGGAAGCACGAGAGGAGAAAAGTAATGACTGGGGGGGGCGGCAACGCTCAGCTTGTGGCATATTGATATAAAAACAAAATGCACACAAACCAAAATGAAGTGAAGAACTAATAACAAATACAACCTGAGAAGAGGACCATAGACTCGGGATGTTGGACCAGGTTGGTACGGGGAGGCGCAGAAGTACTGCTTTTAGGGTGGATCTCTCAGGCTACCCATTGATGCTTACCAACATGAAGTGCTCTTCTTGGTCCAGTTGAATTGTTTAAGAGTGGATTTTGTTTTCAAAAATGTTAGCTGACTCTCCCCTAAATACACGATGAAATATTCATGACTAGATATGCAACAAAGTTTAAGTTCAGAACTATGTGAATAACAGAAGAACCAGCTCTGAACAATCTGAAGCTGCCTTTTGTTAGCTAACTGGCCCGCAGACTTATTTTACCATATAAAGTCATTTTATTATTAGAATGTGACAACAAGCCACTCCTACTGGATACATCGGTTAGTATGCATAAGTTAGTTAAATGGTAGTTAGCTAGCTACCAGATATTTTACGCGTATAGCTACCAGAGTGACGTTAGAAATATCAGAAATAGTAACCAAGCCTTTTCAGTTCTGGTGAGACAGACAACCTGCATGTTTAGAACCAGTATGGCCATATGAAAGCCCCTAAATCCCACAATCCTTTGCTGTCTAGGTGAGACACGAGAAGAGAGGACATTCCGAAACTGGATGAACTCTCTGGGAGTTAACCCACATGTCAATCATCTGTATGGGTATGTACCACAAACAAAATACTCTTCTTTGCACTGGAATCTGAAGAGTTCCCATAACTGGTGTGATCTTATATTCTTCTCTTTATATCTTGTTTAATGTTAATGATTATCAAATACAACCTCGTCTTCTAGAGACCTACAGGACGCCATGGTCATCCTTCAACTCTATGAGAAGATTAAAGTGCCTGTTGACTGGAACAACAAGGTCAACAAGCCACCTTACCCCAAGCTGGGAACCAACATGAAAAAGGTAAATCGGATTCCTTTTGATCTCAGCCAAGTAAAAAAATATATATTTTCTGGCTCTTTTACCACCTGTTTTATTTTTTGCCCCTAGTTGGAGAATTGTAACTATGCAGTGGAACTGGGCAAAACAGCCAAGTTCTCCCTCGTTGGCATCGGCGGGCAGGACCTGAACGATGGCAACGCTACCCTGACTCTGGCACTGGTGTGGCAGCTGATGAGAAGGTGAACTACATCAGGATCTCTTCATAAAATAACAAGATAGAAATACCTTTCTGAAATTTAAAAACTGCTTTCCATTTTTGGTCTACTGGAAGAAGAAAAAATCAAAATGTATAAAGAAAGTCGAATGAGGGCCCTCAGTAATTTAAGGAATTGCTGAGGTTTTCTGAGGGGAAAAAAACAAATCAAACTGCTTTAGTTATTTGGGTACATGACCATGATGCTCTATCTATAGAACATTTTCTTTTTCAGTCACTATGTGTCTGTGTGGTAATTTGAAACACTACAATCACCATTGTCTTCATTAAAAGATTTATTGTGAAAGCTCTGTATATTTACCGTAAACAATTTGAAGGGAGTCGGTGCACTGCAAAAACAGCCCTTCTAGAAACAAGCCAAATAATCTTAAATATAATCACAATTTTTGTATTCAGCAAAGAAACCTCCCAGTGGGATAAGTCAGTTTTGCTTGGCTAGAATTCTTAAAACTAGCATAAGAATCTAGCCACTGAAAGACTGTAAGATAAAAAGCCAAAAATGTAAGCAAGTTGTGCTTATTACAAGCAATGAAAGCTGAAAGATAGACTTTCTTAAAATAAGTATTTTTGTCACTTTATTGAGCTGAATTTAAGAATTTGTATTGTTATCTAAGATTAATAATCAGCAAAAAAAAAAAAAGCTTACAATAAAACACATTTTCTTCAAACACTGGGACAAGACTACTATCTCTTCAATTGGAAGTTGTGCAAGTGGTCTAACTCTTAAAATAATCTTGTTCCTCTGGATATTATGCAAACCTTTGTTCATTAGTTCAATATCAGCTGTAATATCTTATTAAGACA